TTTTTTTTTTTTTTTTTTTTTTTTTTTTTTTTTTTAATTCTGCTTCAAGAATGTCTTGTTTTTTAGCTGGAATTTCTTTAAGTTGCATTCATTTTCTTTGGTGCAAGAAACTGGAGAAAAAAATCTTCTAACTTTATGTTGTAGTGTGCAAGCTATTGTGGCTTTTGTTTTTGTTCAGCGTTAGTTCAAAGGCCAGCAGCCTCTTGTGATTCATTCAAGTAGGTCAGGTTTGTGTAGAATGAAGATTAGAGTGCTTCCATTTTTTTGCACTTGTTCTTCCAGGAAAGCTCTTATGTTAATATTCTTGACAAATCTTTATATCTAGCAAGCAAATTAAATTTGCCTGTTAACCTTGGCAGTCTGCCCTTTTAGTGACCACTTATTAGGTATGAGTTTGCGTAACATCATCTTAATATTTTTCTTAGATTAAAGAAATGTYTTTTTATATACATAGAAATGAACAACCCGCTGTTGCCATGTTGGTCATCCCGGAGGAAAAGGACTTACTTAGTAATTTTCTTGTCAAGATTTGTGGATTTCTTAATCATCTGATTACAGGAGAATCTCGCATGCTTATGCTGTGGAAGCTAAATGCATGGTATTGTTTATGTAGAAGTAACATAAATTAAATTTTATATAGGCTCTGTCTATTTAGGATTTTTTTTGTTGTTGTTTGGTTTTTACTTTTTAGCAGCAGAAGTAGATCAGTGCGGGGGAAGGCAGGCRTTACAGATTTGGGTTCACTACCTTGCAGGTTGTATGGGGAGGAAGAAGTACAAAATCAGTCATAATTGTGCTCTAGTGCTGAAAATTGTGGGGAAAAAATAGACAATTTGATGGATGTAGAGGGAAGTAATTAGTATCAGCATTTTTCAGCATTTTATTAGACGGTGATCCTGATGCTGAACATGGATCATATGTGTCTTTAAAAAAACAAAACAAAACCTCTTAGTGAATACTTTCCTCTAACATAGGTTGTTACAACCGGAATTCAAAATATAGGCAATTGACTTCAAATAATCTATGCAAAGACAATAAATTAAAAATACTGGATGAAGGATATGTTAAGTCAACAGAGTTGTGGGTTTGAAAGAGGGGAGGTTGTTTTTGTGTGTGTTTTTTTTCTTTTTTTTTCTTTTTTTTCTTTGGTATGTATTTTATGTATAAATGATACCAATCCAAAGATGGAACTATAGGATCAGAGAAGGTAGAGCTATTATGGATTTTGTTTGCAGTGACCTGCAGAAATTTCCACACTTATATTTCCACTAATTACAGATGGTGTGCTGTGCTGTAGACCAGACAGGCATAACTTTCTCCCTCCCCTCCAAAAAAAACCCACATCCCCCAAAGACTTATTTTCTACTCTGCAACTATAGAAGGTAGTTGATCTTCTAGTATATGATGGGAATAGGGTTGAGGTTTCATAAACATGAAAGGAAAAGGGGTGCTCCTCAGTCATTTTGCTCTGCATATGAGGAGAACTTTCTTTTATGTGGGAGATGCGCAGCGTAGTGTTAGTATGTTAAATCGATTAGTTTATTTTTTCCATAAAGAAAAATAGTAATCATCAGGAAAAGTTGTAATTCTAAATCCAGCATTTAGCAGGGAGTGCAGTTAGTATGTTTGAAGTGTTGTAGCTGCAACCTGGTTGACAGGTGAAGCAAGCGCYGGTTAGCCTGGCGTGTAGCCCTGGTTTAGGATGAAGCTGCCTCAGGTAGTATGAATGTACTGCAGAGCTGCAGCACTGGAGGGATGACTGCTGTGAAGCTCATCTAACAACAGACGTTATTGCAGTCTTTACCTCTAGAGAGCTGACAGTGCTTTTTAGTGTATATCAGACCTTCGGAGTTTTTTCATCATGTTTTTTATTCTCCAAAAGGGACATGAATTGAAATGTAATGGAGAGCAACGAATGAAAAGCTCATAAATGGATGCACCTTTATGAAAATGATTTGTTAACATCTAAGCTTTAATGCGTAACTTGCAGTGTGCATGATAAATATGAGCCAGTTAAAATCAGTAATATAGTTTTATATTACTTAAAAAATTGGATTATATATTACTGTTGCAGTGGCCCAAAAAGTTGTGTTCAAGCCAGACTACCTTTGCTTAAGGAGAAGTTAATTTGCTGGTCAGCAAGGCCCTTGCCTGAGGGTATCAAAGTAAGCTCTGCTCTGAACAAAATGTGAAGTTTATAGAATAGTTTATAGTTTACAGAACAAACAATCAAAAAATACGTCTTTGGATTTCTTTTTAATTTACTCAGAGATGAACATTGAAATGATATTTTTAGCTGTAGTGTAATCCTCTTTGCAACTGAAGAGTCATCACAGGAACAAAAAATTATATAAACATATTGATTAGAGATTAAATGCTTTTGTCCATTGATTAGTTTAGCTTCAGTGAAACTAGTTATGGAGCCTTAACTTTTTGTGGATTTAATTTGATTTGTTGTAGCAGCAAAATGAATACATGTGAAAACAATATTAAGTATTATGACAATGCAAAAGGGAAATGAGTTTCTCATAAATGGTAATCATCATGACATAAGGATGTATCTAAATCTTTTCTTATCCTTAAAGCCTTTTCTTTATTTCTTATATGACTTCTTTTTTTTTTTTTTTCAAGTTTTTTTGAAAGATTGCAATATGCTGTGTTTATCCTAAAGCCTTGGCCATAGCCATTTAGATCACTTGTTTTAGACTTTGTCAGTCAGACAAAGCAGTTGTCTAGTAACAGCATACCAACTGGTTCTTGTTTTTAATGTGACTTCAGRGTATAATGCACTGAAATTCTATGTGGAATGAAATTAAAACAAACAAATGAAAATGTTTGGTTGAGGAAGTGTTTCTTCATCAGTGTTCTTGGAAGATAAGAAATGTCTTACCTTTTGGGCAAAAGACGTACTTCAGATGAATGCTAAAATGTGTTCAGCATAAATACTCTTTATGAAAATTTTTCTTCTGCTGAAAGATGTCTTCTTGTGTTTCAGAAATTCTGTGTCTGAGACACTGAGGTTGGTCAGTGTAGCTCAACATCCTGGCTCTGCTGCAGGAGTCTATGAAACAACTCAGCACTTCAATGACATCAAAGAACATCTTCACGTAGTAAAGAGGGACATCGAGCATTTAGTACAACGAAATATGGTAATTTATACTCTTGTTAGTGTGAAGTGACTATAGTACTATTTTATTTGGCTGTTAGTAAAAAGTAGAGATGAGCCAGCATGCAATCTATTGAGCTATTAATCCCTCATTAAGCTACTTTAGTAGAACTGCTCTGTCTTGACTTAATGTCATGATCTGTCTTGATGGGAAGTTTTGTATGAAGAGCGTGATTTTTAATTCTGTAAAAATGAGGTCGAGCAGTTGGGCTTTCTGGGTGTTATTTTAAGCTTGTCCTGCTACCTAGCAGTTTTTGGACGTGTTGGACAGTTGTTACAACAAGTTAATGTAGGGTTTCTATTATAATGCATTTTGTATATATAAGTAGTTATGGAACACGGTCCTGCTTAATGAATGAAAAGCTGGAGAATAAATCAACTTGTATTGGAAAAAAAAATCCTTACGGAGGAGACTCTATAAGTGTCTATATGGAAATGAGAGATTTAACTGGGGGAACCCAGCCTCTGCTGAGGGTTTCTTGAGTATGAAGATACTCCTATTCAGTAGCACTTTAGCGTAACATAAGTAGCACTTAAAGTGAAGTTGTTCATGGTGATTGTATACAAACGCTTTTAATTTCTGGAGTAATTTACCAGAGATTTATTCTTCTCACCATAGCCCCTGGATTAACATCAGTCAGGTTATCTGAAAAGCATAAAGGTGAAATGGGGATGCAAATCAGGCAATTATGTCATGACTTTCTAACAAAGTAGTTCTATCTTTTTTTTTCTCTCTCTCAACTTTTTTTTTTTTTTTTTTGCTTGTGTTCTAGATCATATTGCAAAAACCCTTTTTCTTAACTGGAAGCTTTTGACATATGCTCTGTTTTAAAATACTGTGATTTTTTTTTTTCCTTTCTATCTAGCCATCTAATGAGAAACCAAAGTGTCCTGAATTGCCACCATTTCCATCATGTTTATCTACAACGCACTTCTTCGTATTTGTAGCTGTGCAAACAGTGTTATTCATTGGCTATATCATGTATAGGTAAGKATACTTTACTTTGGAGACAATAGGAGAAATGTTATTGGAAGTTCTGAYTTGATACGCAGTAGAAGTGATGTGATCATGGTAACGTTCATTAAGACAAACCTTTCTTCAAGCTGCAGGGGGCCTTGAGTGGTCTGTATTCCAACCAATTCTCAAGGCAGGGTCAACACCATGTTCAGACCAAGTAGCTTAAGGCTTATGATGGTCTGATCTGGTGATCTGGAAAACCTCCAAGGATGGAGAGTCCGCCACCTTTCTGGACCCTTCTTGCCATGTGTCGTTATCATAATGAAGAAGGTTTTTGTGTGTATGCTGTGGGGTTTTTTTTTGTTTGTTTGTTTATTTCTTGTACGTCAGTAGGAGTCTGTTTCACTGGATGTACGCTGTTCTGCTTTGACTGTTGTCTCTCACCTTTGTAACATGTATTGCTGTAAAAAGCACGTCTGGTGGTTGTTTTTTGGTGGGAGGAAGGACACACAAACCTCTTCTTGTCCAAATCCTCTTCTCTTTAGGCTTATACTTTGTCCCTTACTATCCTTGTGTTCTTCTGCAAGACTTGAAGTTTACTAACAGGTTAACAAAATCTGATGTAATTTGAGATTTGAGTTGTTTTACTGTATGTAGTTGCACACTATTTATCCCATCTGACAAGACAATTACGAATCTTCTGAACTCTTTATATGATGCATACCTGGTGTTTTCCATCTGCATTCTAGGTTCAAACCCTGTGAAAATATGCTAATGGAAAATTTTAGGGAAAACAGTTGAAATCTCATTATGTTAGGCTTTTCTAGAAAGCTGTGTTGTGCAACAGAGAGGTGAAGTTTTATTACTAGTTTCTGGGCCTGTTTTTACAAAAAAAAAAAAAAAAAAAAAAGCCTATGTTGAATGGTGGCTACATGCTCTTCTTCCCCATTGTTATTTCACTGTGTTCAGATTAGCTGTAGTGGGGGTGGAACTCTCAGGGATAAATAGGTACTTGTTTGGTGGTCTTCCATGCCCCTTGTCCTCAACAGAATAAGGGCCAAAACAGCTGCAGGAAGCAGCAAGGCCTGCAGTCCTGCAGTGCTCTATCAGGAAATTGTTGTTGCCCATGTGGAAGGATAAGTAGCATGTACTTGAGGACAGTTGCTGGTAGCACTGACTGTTGATGATGATTTCCAAGATAAATGAGGATGCAGTCCCTTTCAGTTGTTTCTGGTGCTCTTGTGAATCTAGTATTTTTGCATGGTTGAACCATGGTATCAATTAAGAAAGTAAATATATTATTTGACAAAGAAAAGAAAATCCCATTTCCAAGCAACTTCTTCAACTACTTAGCTGTATATGGTTCTTTTTCTGATCTGATCTTTGGGCAAATCAGATGCTGAGAAACTTCTTTAAAAAAACCTTCAGTTGCTGTTATTTCTCTGGAATGTTTTGTTTTCATATGTCTCATGCAAAGTTGGAGTTGTAGTCATGCTTCCAGTGATCTTGTTAATGGAGAATACAATATAACTTCTTTTTGACTTGTTTTTTTTTTTTTTTTTTTGATTCCCTAAGTCTCTGTGGAAAAAGAGCAGAATCTTATGTTTCAAAATATGTATACATATATTTCACTAGTTAAACTAGTCAGTTATTTTTCTGTTTCACATGCTTCATGAATTCTTTTCTGCTTTTTCTTTCAGGAGTCAACAAGAAGCAGCAGCCAAAAAGTTCTTTTGATGACTTGTTCCTTTTGTGTGTACATATCAGCAGTATGTATGCACAGAAACTGATACAATTCTGTAAATGAGGGGAACTTTAGTGTTTGATATACTTCAATATTGTAAATTATTGCATTTTGTTTTAAAAAAAAAGGAGTTATTGTTTAAACCATTAATACTAAAGTTTAAAACAAACTGGGGAACAGTGGAGCAAATGCTAGGTAGGGGAAGGCTGTAAACCTTATCTAGGTTTATGTTTTCAGCTAAACTTCTGATAAATACTGGAAGATAAACACAGTATTCCTCTGGATTGATTAAGATTTAAGAAGAGGGAATTAAAACAAAGATTCGGTGGTTGTCAATAATAAAAATTGCAAACTGATGATGTGTGCAGAAAACCTAACYCTTAATATCCTGACCTATAGGTTATTTGTTTTTCTTTCTTGTAATGAACCACGCCTTTCTTTGTTGGGGAGAAAAGTTGTTAGGAGTGTTTCATCTCCCTGGCAATTGGGTTTAATGGGGTTTAGATTGGTTTAATAAATTCCAACTCTTCTTGAGATGTGTATCTACAAGCAATTTTTTATATGTGGACACACAGGCTTTTAAGAGGCAGACTGTTAGCATCTGGTGTAGTAAGGAAACAATGCAGAATAAACAAACAAGGTGTATCTTTCTGTTTGGGGTTTTATTTTTAGGCAGTGAGAGAACACCGAAGTAGTTTCTCTGGGTGTATCATAGGGTGTTTTTTTTGTTTGTTTGTTTTGGTTTTTTAAATATAGTTTCAAGTCAGACTAACGTTTAGAGATTTGTAGAAACATTTTAGCAAAGATAACATTGGTTTATACCTCTTCAGATCTGATTTTAAGGGCGCATTTGATCTGGGAACGTGCTTGACTTTTATGAATCTGTCTTGTCTTTCTTGAATTGAATGCGGATGCTATAATGTAAAATCCTGAAGTAGTGAGTGTTCTGCACTCCGAATACCATGTTACCCATCTCTTCAGAAGTTGTTGCATCAGACATGTTTGTTTCATCCAATAGCTATTGCAGAACCAGGATTGTGCATCAGCTCCTAGGAGGTTTAATATCAAGTGCACCAGACTGAACACTTGTTTTTGATATTGCTTATCCTGTGAAATTTGCTTCAGGAAAGAAACAAAGCAGATAGCTCAAATTGGGAATGTGAAAAGCTTTTTTTTCTTTTCTGCCTTGTTTACGTATCTGTGGTAACTTTGTCCTTCAGTTGCTTATGTATAGAGTTGAGAATTTTTAAACTTTATAAAATGCACAAAAACATCAGAATATTTCATTTGTAATTATAAGTCTCTCTAGCTGAAAATCTGCAAAAACTATGTAGAATCTGACATACAGCTGCTCCTTCCGAGTGCAATACATGTTGCCAAATTCTCTGTAATGAAGAACGTTTCAGTATTGTGCCTGACAATTTGGAGAAATGATAAATCTATGCAATACATTTTGTTACTTAAATTACAAAATGCCCAGAAAGTGGGTGTCTGTGCTATACCAGTAAGATGATACTACCTGCACACCTATTTAARTAGCTACAGTATGTGCTACACTGTAAGCGGTATAGCTAAATAAATTCATTTCTGAATTTTGGAAGATTGTTTGCTGTACTAATTGGAGGAACTACTTCCTCAAGCTAGTCTTGGTGAATAAATAGGGTAAATCAATAGGAGAACCTTTCAGAAAGCCACAGTAGTATACAGGAACTTAGTTCTTCTGACACCAGCAAATATTTACAGGTGCCTTGAATCTAAGCTGTTGCAACCTGGCCTCTTTTCACTAAATCTACTATACTGTTCTAAATTGCTGTGAAAATGTACAGTGTTGTTCTTGCATCAGTGCAACACCTAAGCAGAGCCCCTACTCTCATAGCAGGCTTTGCAGGACCTTCTGCCTGGAAAGGCTGGAGACCATCCTGACAAGTAGGTCTGTGTCTGGAACAGTGAGGAGCAGCTCTTGKTATGAGTTGGAGGAAGCATTTGTTTCTCTTTGCTGAGAATTTCCCCAACTTGGTTTTAACAAGCTGAAGCAGACCATGCCCTTCCTTCTTGTGTTAGAAGAAAAGGCTGAGCGTAGCATCTAGGGAAAAACCTGCACCTCCCATTTTGTTGTCGCTATGGTTCTCAGCTGCAGTATCAGTGCTGCTAATGGAGCTCTTCTGTCCCACGAACCTGGGGAAACTGCAATAGGAGCAGAAGGTCAAAAATGTGGCATCTGAAAAGTGATGCTTTGCTTCATGCCTAGTCACACAAATCCCTCCTTAGACTTTCCATAATTGCCTTGTTCACTGGAGCAAATTAAAACTCCTAATTATTTAGCCCAAACCTTGTCCTGTCTGAAGTGATTGCAACAGTTTTGGACCTAGGACTATTTATTAGTCAAAGTAGCCCCTGTTTATGGCTACAGCATTTCTTTCAGTACTATTTCACTTTGTCAGTATATTTCATTTTGTTAAGCAAAATTTCAGAACTGGAAGGAGAAGACAACTTGGAATCCGCCTTTTCCATAAGGAGCAGAACAAGTCTAGCAGTATTGAACTGTGCACGATAAGTAGCAAATACTATTTGGCAATGACAAGCAAATCCTATTGTACCAGTCAGAGTATGCTAAGTAATTTGTTGCATCTGAATCTTTTAAGCAAAATACATGATCATGTTTGTAAGTTCCTGGCTTCCTGTTTGAGGAGAACTTGACTTGTATCAATGCATCAAATACTGTAACAACCAGGACTGTCCGTCTGCTGTGTTTTTGCCAAACAGGTGCCGTTTCCATTTGTTTGTTTCTGAGTAATGTAATTTGACAATTGGACTTCAAAGATAACCTTATTTGAATAAAGATACATATTTTCAGTATACTTTTATTTTAGTTTGATGCATGTTCATGAAGTCCTTGTGATTTTGCAGTGTATTTCAAGCATCCATTACCCTTTGTTCAGTGGGTTTGGACATTTCTGAGATCTGGGTTCCATCCTGTTTGAGGGACGTGGAGCTTCTCGAGAGGGTCCAGAGAAGAGCAACCAAGATACTTAAGGGAATGGAACATCTCCCATAGGAGGAGAGGCTGAGTGAGCTGGGCGTTTTCTCTGGAGAAGAGAYGGCTCAGAGGGGATATGATTAATATGTATAAGTTCAGGAAGGGAGAATGCAGGGAGGAAGGGGACAGGCTCTTTTCACTGGTGGCCAGTGATAGGACGAGGGGTAATGGCCACAAGCTGGAGCACAGGAGGTTCCATCTCCAGGTGAGGAGGAACTTCTTTTCTGTTAGGGTGACAGAGCAGTGGAACAGGCTGCCCAGGGAGGTTGTGGAGTCTCCTTCTCTGGAGGTCTTCAAAACCCGCCTGGATGCCACCCTGTGCCACATGCTGTAGGTGTGCCTGCTTGAGCAGGAAGGTTGGACTAGATGATCTCTAGAGGTCCTTTCCAACCTTGAATATTCTGTGATTCTGTTTGCCGCTAAGCTGCGTTACGAGCCGGATGGGTGTCTTTGGCTAATGAGCTGTGTTGGTTCCTCCAGTGCAAAGATTTAAAAGAGTAGCTCAAGCCAAAGACTAATGCATTCATTGAAAAGAGTAAGTATGTTTAAAGTAAAATGGGACCTTCARAGTCTCTTAATAATAAATTATATGTTCAAAGCAGATAAGTAGCAATTCAAATTGTTCAATTCAATGTGTGGTGGTTTTTCTCCCCGTACTCCCCCTCCGCCCCCCCTGAGCTGGAGATAGACATGTAGGCAATGGTTCTTTATTCAAATTCTCCTAACTGCCCTCATTTCTGTGCTTGTGCACTGTTTAGTCTCTAGGTACTTAGCCAAAGCAGTGCAGTGTGTGCAACTGTGTGTGCTCACAGGAAGAGCAAAAGACCCGCAATGGCAATTGCACATCCCAGGAGGGAAGGTCCTATCTACTTACCTCCCTTCAGGCAGAGAGGGCCCCACATGCCTGTTCTCTCTGCACAGTGGTGTAATCATCAGAGTACAGCACAACATCCTCTCCCAGAAGAAGGGATAGGGGAGGGTCTCGATCCTTTTGAAGAACACTTGAAGATACCACTGAGATAGTGATTGGAGTTCACAGAATCTTCAAGGTTGGAAGGGACCTCTAGAGATCATCTAGATCCAACCTTCCTGCTCRAGCAGGGACACTTTAGCCTTCTTTGTTTCCAAGTCTGACAGTGGGAAGCCTTTGCTGTTAGGGAGGTTCATGAGACTCATCTCATGTCTGGAGGGCAGTGTCTTTTGCTTCTCAGGCCTTGTGCCAGGTCTCAGCTTTCTCACCTTGGTCTTCTGTTCTGTGAAAGTATTTACTGAGACTTCCCCTTCTTTCTCATTTAAGCAGAAGGTTATATTAGCAAGAACTTCAATAGTGATAAGACTACAATCAAGACTTGCGTCTAAAGATAGGTACTTCTCAGTAAAGAGCAATAGTTCAGAGACTAACAGGTGCTTTCCATGTATTTCAAGAGAAGACCATAAGACCTGGTCCTGAAAAAACTAGCCCTGCGTCTTATTTGCAGTGTGTAGTGCAGTCATAGCACTGTGCCCGGTCACAATTTTCAATGAAGATGAACCAAGCRGTGCAAGAGGACTCAAGATGCATATGCCACCAATCGGTGATGCTGTTGAGGGACAACGTTTGGAGATTTAATTGGGTGGCTCTCAAAGCTGAGACAAAATATAATCAAAAATATTTTTCTAATTCAAAATTTCTTTTACAGCTGGTTTTTGTGTGCTGCTGAGCTGGAAGGAAGGAAGGAGTGGAAAGATAGGCAGGACTGAAGCTTATACCCAGAGCTGTGATGCCCCTCTTCACTAGGGACACCCAAAGTGGCCAAATGCCTTCACCCTTCACTTAGGATTTTATATCTCCTACTCTTGAGATCCTCTGTACTCTGAGCCTTTTACAAAGCTTCTGCCTTTCTAAATCAGGCTGTAGTTCAGGCAATATGCAGTCTTCATTTATCAACTGGCTCTTGGTGGAATTTTCAGCTCTAGCAATCTGACAAAATAACTCTGTAGCTGCATTTCTTTCCATTTAGAAGTCAGCTGCATAGAGGTGGGAGGTTCATGTGGTCTTGTTGATCATGGGGCTGTCACTACGGCTCGATAGTCAGAGCACTCTTCAAGATAGGCTTTCTGCGATAGGTGTGGGATGGAGCCAGTTTGCAGAGCTCTCAAGTGCTCGTGAAGTGAGCAAGGTCTCAGTTCAGGAGAAGAGGAAGGGATTACAGTGGAGAGCTGAYGCTGCTGGTCCCGCTGTCTTGGGTGGGTTGCTTCATGTCATGCACCTGCTTCCACCATCTCCCTGGAGCGGGACGGCGCTGGGCAGTGGCAGGAGCCGCAGTGACGTGTCGCAGTCTGCTGGACCCAACTTGCTGCAGGGTGCCACGGCACCACCAGTTTGCTTGCTCTGTATAGGCAGTCTCCTCAAACCTGGAAGTGTGGGAAATACAGGAAATGTCAGCCATCTGTCCCTTTGCATCCTCGGGAAGGTGGCAAACTGCACTGGGGAAGTCTTTGGGTAAAGTCCCCAAATTGGATTGACTATTTTCAGATCTGTGCTGAAGCTCTTTCTGAGTTAGGAGCTGTGATACCTCATYAGTGTGTGTGTGTGTATATACTAATGGCTGTGTTTTTCATTTACACTGCCTGTTTTACTGCTGCGAGGAGATCACAGGTTTTGTTTTGTGCATGCAGCTTCAGAGTGAGGCGTGCTCGTGTTGAGTGTTCACTGCTCAAAGTGGGATTAGCGATCTGACCTGAATGATCCCAGTCCTGTCTGTGCTGCACCACTGGATTTTTGGTAATCAACGTCTAAGTTGGTCAGATGCAAAAGTTTAATCTCCCTCCCTAGATTCTTGCTTCTTATACATAGTTATGATAATGCACAATGAAATCAATAATCACTTTTTTGTTTTCTTAAAAATGCTTTCTAGGTACTTGTAGTCTATCAAAATAATTTTGTTGTGATTAGAAGTTCTTGCTTCTGAGTGATACTCCGAAAGGAAATTTGAAGTTTCTTGTTTAATCTTGTAATCCAGGATTACAGAACATCCTGCACTTTTTTTTTTTTTTTATTTTAAGTAACAGGTCTGCTTTAATTAGAAGGGTTCTAATACCGATTAAGGCATTAGCCAAACTAGAATCCTCCCATCTTTCAATGAAATTATAAGAGTACTGGGAGAACTATTTAGATAATCAAGATTACAAAATATTTCATTGTCATGCACAGTCAACCTTAATATGATAGTCAATACACAAAATCCTGAACTTTTGAAACCGAGCAGATGATTTCCTTTCCCCAAAGAGTATGTGATTTGTGTAGCAGATCCAGCAAATTTTCACCTGAGCAGACCTGATAAGGTTAACAGTGTGAATAAAGAGCAGAAGATGAGGACCTGCACAAATAAGGTGCAGGCACAAAATGAGGCTGGATTATAGCTTCATCAGACACATTCTATCTAACATCAGTTAAGACAAAAACCACCAGCTACTGCATGTAGTTCCAGTCAAAGTAATGATCTAGGTGGAGGGAGTCTAAGGAAAAGCAAAACACAAAACTAAAGTCAGATGTAATTTGCTCCCCTTAGAAGAAGAAGAAGAAGCCCTCAGTTATCTGTAAGATAAATTAACCAAATCAGATAAAGGAAAAAAAGTCTGTCCAAAATTATAAAATATTAATTGATAAAAATGATTTTTCCCCATTTAATGAAGAACGCCAGTTTTCAAATCTGGGACTGTCTACATTGAAAAAGATTTTCTGCTCAGTAGCTCCAATTTTACAATATTACTGTGGCCATTTAATCAACTAGGTCTTTGATCTGTATGTACTGTGTTTTTGAGAATATTTTGGACTCAAAATAAGGGAATTTCCACATTAAAAACTTTAAAGTGCTGTTGTACTCTACAGTTGATTTGTGTGTGTGTGCGTGTGTGTGTGTGTGTGTGTGTACAATTAGCTTAAGGTATTAATAAAAAAAAAAGTAGGTAGCTACATCTAATGATTTTTTTTTTTGAGTAATCTGGACCATCTGCCTCTAGATATTAAGGAGTTCACTGCTTTAATCCAGATTATGGCTGACAAACTGGTTTTGGCATTCACGTTTCACTAGCATTGTGCCCTTGAAGAGCTGCTGTGGCTGCAGTAACTCCCTTGCTTGTAATTGTCAGTTTTGAAAGTGTTTCTGATTCGCATCGGTGTTGCTGTGGTGGTCGTTTGCTTGTAGCTTTTTTCTTTTCTCTCTTTCTTTCTTTCTTTCTTTCTTTCTTTTTTTTTTCTTTCCTCCTTGCAAAGAAGATGGCCTTCCTAATGAAAAGTATGTTGAGCAATCAGGTAAAGAATTTGGGGCTTGGAGGTGGAGGGGAAGAAAACAAAGAAGAAAGCACGCCATCCGACCCAGCAGCAGCCGCGGGGATGACCAGGGAGGAGTATGAGGAATACCAAAAGCAAATGGTTGAGGAGAAGTGAGTACCTGTTCCTTATTATCAGTACTGGGCTGATTCCTGGCAACTTTGTACAAATAAGAATAAACCAGAAGGAGCCAAACATCCTCTTCTTTTCCCACTTTTTAAACGTAAGAGACTAAGACAATAGAGTAGTTTTGCTAACAAGATATTCCAAAATAAATATGAACAAATGGAGATAGCAAAATGTTATGTTT